CGTAAGTTTCCCAAGATAGGAAACCATGGAAACATGCCTCAGTGGTTTCCATACAGATTCCCGACATGGAAGCCACCAATGTGTAGTTTTACCCATGTTTCCCAGGCAGGGAAACTTTGAAAGTATATCTCAATACTAACCACCTACCTTTTATTTTACAAAAAGTTTAATATTTAATTATGTTACCATATTTTTACCAATTATAGAAATATTTCAAAAGTGTTTACATGCTGTTTCAAAATAATTAACTTCAAACAGTTAAAATAACTAGATGTGTATTTCTGTGTGATTAATTTAATATTTCAGCACCGTGAACGCAATTCAATTTTAATTTAATTTTATTGAACTGAATTTAATTTAATTTAATTTAATTTTGAATTTGATTTATCACATAAGTTTTGGTAAACTCGTATAGAATGCGTGAAGTGGAATAGAAAAAAGTAAGTGCATGCAGTTATGTAGAAATCAATCATTTCCGATCCCACTTTCTTGAAGCTGTCTATGATGAATGTTCCTTTGAAAAAATGGAAGAGCTAAGGAAGGGTACATTTAATGAAATTATTTACAGAAAAGGTTTACTAAAAAGATCGATTAAAAAGTAAATAAAGAAATATGTCAAGTTACGATTACTGATTAAGGACAGGTGAGACGTTCCTCAATAAAATAATTAAATTTTTTTCCCAATATTTTGCAATTGACATTGAAGAATTATTTTTACATAATTACATGTTTTCACAAGACATCAAGGTACCTTACCAGGCATTTGTGTTAGATACCAGAGGTTGGCATTTCTTATATACCGGGGTAATCCGTCAGGAAAAAATACTTCAGTTGGTTTGTCCAAATTACATTTTTAGTTTTTCAAGTTTTTAAATACAGGTTTAGAAAGTGATAAAGATTTTGTTTTAATATGAATTAATATATTAATATAAACTGGTCAGATAAGAATCATTCATCGAATTGGCTGGGGGTTGAGTATTATCATACTAGTATTTTACTATAAATAGTGAATATTGTTTTTTTTTTATTTATTAAATTATTATTTTTATTATTGGGGGTGGGTGGGTTGCTTTTCATTTTTTCCTCGAGAAGCCCCCCCCCCCCCCAAAAAAAAAAAAAAATTAGGGACATCTGTCCTCACGTGCCATTTCAGGTGGAGACACGTGCTGCGAAGACACCTGTCACTGTGTATTTTTTGTATATTCTATGTGAATTGAGACGGTTTTGTACCTAAAGGGAACAATAGGCTGCTGTCGAGCATGTACACACACAGTCTCCGACCGAAAATTCCTTTGAATTAAGATGATGATTCGTGTTTCTTTTATCATTTAAAAAATTGTATATTCCATAAATAAAGTTATACAAGAGAACATATTTATAAAATAACCTTCATTAAAGAAGTTCAATGAAAGAACAAACTATTTAGAATTTTTATTTCAATTTTTATTACTGATTTAAAATAAAACAATCCTCTTTAGAAATTAAATAATTTTCTATAGGTATTGAATAGATCTTAATTCTCGTCATGTATAATTATATTAAATCAGAATGACGTTAATAGATCAATGTGAAATCAAAACTGTATTTAATATTGTTGATGGGTTTTTGTGTGAAATTTGTAATCTAACGTACTACGAAGACATTTATTAGATAAATGTTTATAATATAATTCAACTTTAAAATTTTCAGCCATTTTTTTTTTCTCTCCAAAGGCCATTGCTTTAGATAAAGAAAAGTCTATAATATTTTGCATGATTTTGTTTTCCTTAAGAACAATGGCTTTTAAAGTAGTACATGCTAAGGCAATCTATTAAAAGAATTAATTGTATAATTAATTCATTGTATAATTGTCACAATTGTATTTTTGTTCAGTTTTTGTTGATTTCATTCTATAAAGGTATGAAGTTTGTCAATACTTCAACAAACATTTCTTTATCTATGTTGTACACTACTTTATTTTTATTGCCGGCATGCTACTCTTTTTTAAAAAAAAAACTTGGGTGACTAATAGACTCGATCTTCAGGCCTGTAGGAAAGTAATTTCCGTTAGAGTAATAAACTAACCGGGATTTTATTTTTACCAACATACCTTACCAGATTTCTTAACGAAAAAAAAAACATAAAAGAAATACAGGGCGGGACTAGTTAAAGCTGTATGCATATGTACAGTCCTGCACATCAACGAGTATAGATGACTTTCGACATAATCTTTCATATGACTTCACTTATACCAATCACGACTAAAATACTGAATTAAAATACTGTTATATTTTCCTGCCTTTGATAAGATGTTAGTTTTGTTCCACCTAGAGATATAACTCTCCTAAGAAAAAGGTTTTCAACATTCTGATTCATTTAACAATTTTACGTGTTAAAATGATGTGGGAAATATTTTTTAGCTTTTTTTACGTGTTAAAATGATGTGGGAAATTTTTTTAGCTAAAGGCCAAGGAGTTTAAAGTACAATGTACATGTAGCAATTAGAGAAAAGTCTAGCAGGTCTAGCAGGTCTACCAGTAATATTGATAGCAGGCGCAAAATCTAATTAAACCCCGAAAAGGAGGGAGTTCAATTAGTAATTTAATCCCCCCCCCCCAAAAAAAAAACACACAACAATTTATTAGTAATGAATTATTAATGACCGAACTTTTCAATCATCACTATTGAAATAAAAAAAAACTGTTCTTGATAATCATATTATAATTGTAGCTCATTTTCATGACTTTTAGGATTCCTGTGGAAAGTTCACAATAAAAAAATGTGCTTTTAAAAATTTAACATCTTTTGGTGTGACATTTTAAATTCATAATCATACATGTAACAGTTAAAAGAAGCGGGGAGAGGGGGGGGGGGTACTTTCAGCAAGGACGGCCATTACCAACAATCAAGCCCCGAAACCCATATCCCGAAGGCAAATAAGTTGAGGTGTCAAGCAAGAAACATTTTTTTTTTCTGCTCTTGCATCATGTATTTAACCGCTTTTTTCTAAATATACAGTACTAGGCCTACACATCATATCGGCAAAAATATTTAGGAGTCCCTCTTTTTATTCCATGAAAAGCGGAAAACTTAATTAAATTCTAATATAAGATCTCATAATCACACTTAAAGGCAGAGATTTTAAGCACCTCCCTTATTTTTACCTGTAAAACATCAAAAACATGCCGGCTGTCAATCAAGCTGAGAAACAATAGGGCTAGATTTGATTGACGTGATCGCTTGAGCGCGATCTTACCTGGAGTGTGAATCGATCGCGGGGATCAATTAACAACAACGTGTTTGATTTTTACCGACTGATTAAACAAAAATTAAAAAAATTGTTTTCCAAAATAAAATTGATTATGAGTACATAATTATTAATCTAACAGGAAATTTAATATGCTGACTATGATCTGGCTTATTTTACATTTATTCTTGAACATGACGACGAAAGTAACAGTACATCTTTCTGAAGATAAATTGGCGGCTATTGAAGCTTTATTTGCCTATAATGACTGGAATTGGGAACCTGAACAAGAAGAGTCCGTTGTATCTCAATCTCAAGTTGACCCCATCATTGAACCGTCAGACGGCTACTCTGCGTGTCTTGACTGTTTCTGTCGACCATGCGTAATGCACGAAAACAATCGGCAACTTTGGTGGCCTGAAAGAAGTAGTCGACCTTCTACGAAGAATAGATTGAAACGAAAGATGTGTTATAAAAAGTTTTGGACAATGTTATGTCACAGAGGCATTTGGCAGGACGAACGATACATAGAAAGAAAGTCTCAAGCACTTCGATCGTCGACATCGTCGTTTTGTGTGGCAGTCCCATGCATACAAACGGGATATTATGCCGACCTGTGTGGTACGTCAAGTGAGGGACTGGTTTCCTAATCCCCCCGATCAACCTTACATGGGCCATTTGTGGCACTGACTTTGAAAATAAACTGTTTAATAAATGTTGTGAAATAAATTAAAAAATTAAAAAAAAGAAAAAAAGATGGCTCTCTACAGGGGAGGCCTCCGCGTGGCTAGAGCTGGGAAGATTCGTCTTTATAGCGATCATATTGCAACTATATTTTTATTGAATTGAAATTATAATCATTTATTAAGATAAGAAGAATATAATAATTATTTATACAAACGATCGCTATAAGGACTGATGGCTGACGTCCCCAACACACTATAAATTGATACACATAATAGCATGAATATTTATAAATGGAAGAAATCCATTGAACATAATATAGGAACTAATGGCTGACAGGCCAGACACACTATGAAATATAAAATTTTATATATTTTTACATGAACATACATAAATATAAGATACCCACTGAACATGCTGAATACAAAGAGATTGAGAGAGAGAGATAGATAGATAGAGAGAAAACAGGAGGCGCTTACACATAAAACAGTAGCTGATCTAGGATTCGGTCTCAATAAGTCCCCGACTTTTAGTTTTATTCGTGTTGTGTAAAGTAAAGTTTAAGCAATCCTTCGATTAATAAACCAAAAAAAAAATAGATTAAATTAATTTTAATTAATCTAGTTAATGTAAACAGTTTACATTTCCCATCCTGCATCGCTCTCTGGGCGCTTTATTTCATTGGTCAATTTCCCGAGGCGCCATTTTTAGAGGACCGAGAAGGACGAAGAAGAAGGTGTAAGCAGCTGGTAAATGTGAAAAGTTAAGATGGTTTCACCACCCAGTGTCTTTAAGACTGTGATAAATGCAATGGCCAACGATGAAGGATTAGTGTACGTATATTTTTGTTAACTTTTTACGGTAAATAGTTGTAATATTTGGCAACAACAAATCTTCACTATCGGAGGCAACTTTTGTTCTGACGCCATTTTGAAAAGTTGGATACCTAAGTTTAAAATTGTTAAGTGTATATATTGCAGAGAGAGAAAAAGAGAGAAAGAGAAATTTGAGACAGTGATACAGCATAACCAGAGACGTATACGTCTCTGAGCATAACTTAGATTACGGAGGCCCCAAAGGCGCCGTGCATGTGCATGCTGTATGTTGTAAAATGGCAACGTTTCGCCTTTTATCATGTTTATTAAAATGTATGCTCCATATGTATGTTCTCTCTCTATATATAAATGAATACTTTTCGGAATTAAAAAAAAATATTTTTAACCCCGCTCAAATTATCCGGATGATAATAGTTACACCGAGCATGGTTTCGTAGTTAAATTCAGACTGTAGAACATCCGGTTTGAATACATGTGTTTTCTGACTTTTCGGATAGCCAACTCTTGTTTTCTGGAACTTACGACTTATGGCAAGGTATAAATTACATATTTTTGGTTCAAAACTTTGATAAAAGCATCGATATTTTTACAAAAAGTGTCTTCAATCTCAGCTTATCCGATTATTCATGAAGGATATCCTCATCAGAACAGTTGGAATAGATTGTAGCGAATAGCATAACCCTTAATCATATGCATGACGATGATATGGAGGAAAAATATACATAAAAAAGTGAATGTAGGTGAAAGCCTGTCCACTTTTCTGAAGAGATTAGGTTTGTTTTATTGATTATTGAAATAGTTTACTGCTCAAAAGATTTTTTTTTGTAATGTCTAACCTGTTGAGATGAAGATGTAAAAAAAGAAAAGCCTAATAGTGAATTAATATTGATAGTATGTCAAGAAATGCAAATGAATCATCAGCTTGAATTATCAGTTTTTTCACAATTATTGACCTGAGTAGGTCAATGTATAGCAAATAATGCACAATAAAACTACTTACATACATGTACACGGTATTGTCTTACTGAACAGATTTAGCTGTCATTAGGTCAAAATTGCAAATAATAACATGCTTCTTATATCTGTATATACAAGTAACTCTTGATGGCTTGAACTTAAATTTCTCGGAAGTTCTTGATCGCTTGAAGTGAGTCTCCGGTCCCGATTTTTTCCTCTATATAACTAAGCAGATTTGCTCTTGATTTCTCGAACTCCTGATCTCTCGAAACCCTTGATCCCTCTAAGTCAAAATGCAGTCCCGCTGTGCGATGAATTTTACCCTTGATACCCCGAAGTGGCTGTGTGTATACCCAGTTATAATGTTCAAACTTTTGCCATAACTGTTTATCTGTGTGTCTGTCTGAGTGTCTGTTGTCAACTTAAACCTTCACCATAACTTTAGAACTATAAGAGATAGTGGCTTCATATTTAGTATGCATACTCCACTAATGAAGTGCTTTCAAATGGCAACAAGGACAATGATTATGTGATCTTGACTGTGACCTGTATGCTAAAAAAAATTGCATTTTTGAACTTTGTTGCTGTGTTTCACAAGCGCATCTTGTTTTTAGCTCTACTGGTCAGAGACCAGAAGAGCTTATGCGATAGTAATGCGTCCGGCGTCCGTCCGTCTGTCTAGCTGTCCATCTGTCTGCAAACACTACTCCTCCTTAAATTTTAGTCTGATTTCAATATAACTTGGCACACAAGTAGACTATACATAATTCTGTGCATCAGTCTTTGATAAGTACAAACCACAGGGTTCTCCATGAGCTATTTTACTGTGTTGCTCCCGACACAGTAAAAATTTCTCCGACACAGTAACGATTCAAATTTCATGCATGCGACACAGTAAAACTTTGCCGACACAGTAAGAGTTGTGATAATTAGAAAATCTAAATACACAAATTCTCTCTAACCGAAACTTTAATCAAACAATTCTACTGTCTTTCAATTCAAAAAGTTATAACACTTAATTACTAGGGCTTCTCCTTGAGTAATCAATCAATTATCTCCAAGACCCTTGCCGGACTTTATGCATGATGGAACAAAGACAAATAAATTGTTTTCACAATTCAATGTACCCGTTAATTGGTAGTTGCAATGGAATACTTTGTATTATATATGAAAAATATTTAAATATATCTTTCATATAGAGCAACAGCCCTAGAATTATGTAAGCACTGTACGCCAAACATAACATTGTACCAAAGTCATTTAATTGATGTAAATACATTGCCGAAAATTTTGAAATTTCAGCATGTTCAAAGAACTCTTTTAAATATTTCACTGTTCTGAAGTTCCTTTTTTGTGATGCGGTAGCTCGATCAAGAAACCTGATAAATAAACACGGCAAATCTACTCTCAAAAATGTTAAGTAGTTAGACTATCGGTCGGAATTTCCTCTGCTTTTCAGAATGTTTTTTTTTTATCAGTATGTAAGACCATACCATTTGTGTAACGAATTAGCGATTTTTAAATAAGTGTGTGCTTGTAATCTTTTGTAATTATAATAAATTGTGATTCAATTGCGAATTTGTTCGCGAAAATACCGCAAAATATTAGTGCTTCGCGTGAACTCTGCAACACAGTAAAATCTCAAATGATGGAGAATCCTGAACCAGTAGAGCCACAGTCTCGACAGAGACTTCTGGTTATTTTTTCTTCCATCCCGGTTGTTGCTAATGCTATTACATAATTAGTTTAAATTAGAATGCAATAGTACCTGGACATAATTTATCATTTCAGAGAGAAGAAAACTGTGACGTTAAAAGAAAACCAGTGAGATAAAATCATAGAAAATGCATGATGATTCAGGATGTGGTCATTTGGTAAGTAATAATTCATTCATGATTAGTATGTATATGACAATTGCCTAAAAAAAAAAAAGATTCTAAATTTTATTTAAATACTGAACCGTGGTATATCAGCTGTGAGCTACAAGAAGTTTTATGTAAAAGCTAGGGCTGAAACAATTCGCCCCCTCCATGTTATGTGTGTATTGCTATGATTGACATACAATCAGTTCTCTAATACATACACTTCAATAAAACTTTGTCGTCTTGAACCTGAATTGAAAAGGAAAAAACTCTGAGATCTCTCCAAAAAATTGAATGAAAAAAAGGAAATGCTTATTAACTGATTTCTTGCTGGTCAGTATTTTGATTACTTAAAGGAAGCTCTAAAAACTGCACACTAAAGAGTTCTACTTTAATATCAGGTAGTGTTTTGAAGTTAGAGTGATCTGCCCTTAGATTAAGATTATGAAAAATGTTATTTTACAGTCAGTTAGATTATTTTTAATAGATTAAATTATTTTTAGCATTATTTAAAATTAAAAAAATAGGAAATTAGTTATTTTCATAAATTTTTCCAATGTAAGTAAACAGCTATGATTTCTGCTTACAGATAGTCCATTGTCTTTGAAAATTTCTTGGGGAAATGAGGCACATACCATATGTTCTAAATGCATAAAAAAGGCTCATTATGCATATATTTATATGAAATATGATAGATTTTTTTCTCTCCAAGGAATAATTTCTGCAAGTCACTAAGTTTTTAGAGTTTCCTGTATTTTATAGATATTCAATGAAATTATTTGAAGTATTAAATTTTGGTAAATTTTATGATACTAAAAGGTTATAAGGATGAAAAAACAGCATGCGTGTATGACAATCAGGGCTTAAATTTTTAATGTCTCTTAATTTTTCAGTGACATTAAAACAGGAATTGTCATCACCAATAGACTAATTTCACTTTCCTAAGAGTTTTCTCCAATTGTCGGCGTATCGCTCATTTTTCCCACTTTGTCTTTTGTAAGTTACTTGTTAATATATTTTCAATCTTCAAAAATATTGGACAATTACGATCTGTATCTGTATTGCCAGAGTATGGGGGCAACATGAAAATCATAATGAATATGTTCATACAGATTTTATTTCTAAGATATTGTCCTTCAACGTTGATACGGTTAAAGAGGGAAAACAGCGTCTTAAGCCGGTTGACCCCAGATCGACCTTGCGAAGGGGAATAACTTTTGTAAATGTGAAACTCAAAGTCCTTTATGGTATATCATATAGATCTAAAACTGACTGAATTTTGATCAGCCAATTCATGAACATGGTGAATGGATGTAAATAATGTTGGTCAATATATGTAAAAAAAAAAATTAAATTACTTGTTTATATATACATTTGTGGTATCTCTCCCATTGAAGTTTATAAACTTGTTATTTATTTCTTAAATAAACTGAGCGTACATGCAATACCGGTATAAAATTACTCATAAGATACATGTATACTTAAACCATGATAAAATCATATGTGTCCAATTCAGCATATGATAAATCATTAACATACAAGTACATGTGTATATATACTGTAATACATATATATTGCATTATTTTTAGGTCCTGTTCTGTGGATGCCCTAAGACAGTGTCTACCCATCACTCCATCTGATATCACTTGTTCTGAGCATATTTCTCTCTCAAACTTAAACTACAGAGAGCCTGTGGATAGAGGATGAAGAGTGACCTTGGACTAATTTTCTAGGTCAAAGGTCAGTATCAAAATGTACTGTATATCTTTATTTAAAGTCGTAATCCAGAGTATATTTCTCTCTTGGTGTAATCTAGCTTTTGTGTAATGGGGTGGAGGGTCTGCAATGATCTTCAACCAATTCATAGGTCGAATATCAAAATTTTAAAAAAAATCTCTCTCTAATATTTTTGTTATTATAAAGGGTATGTTTTCTCTCAAACTAATCAAACTTAAAGCAGGGTTCTTAGTATGAGATACATGTAGTAATATATTCTCAATGACATAATAAGGCTGAAAACATTATTTATATTATGTTATTTTTTTTCACTTATCATAAAGCATTAAATATTAAAGAGATACATTAAATGCTGAAATCATATGTATCATGGTCATGGAAAGTAATTATTGATATTGATATATTAAAGGACATTGACTGATCTTTCAGATTTCTAAGTTATATTCAAGCATTATAATTCTGACATCATATAATAATTTTGTATGAATATTGCAGATCATAGGTGATGTGAAGAGAACCAGGAAACTGATGTTGAAAGAAGTACTTAATGACCCTTATGAATGGACTTAAATGTGAAAGACTGTTCAATTGTTTATCTAAGATATATGAATTTATTTAATATTTTGATATCATTGAAAAATTCAGTTACAGTTTTTGTACATCAAATGAATTATTAAACATTTAAAATGGTAATGCTTTTTTCTTTTACATGTAATAAATTTTTTTGATAGATTTTTAAAAGAATACGCATCATTTCACATTGCTTTCTTTAGAAAAGTTGGGGAATCTTAAAGTTTCCCAGTAATTTCCACCAGGAATGGGACTCCAGATAATTCCACCAAGTTTCCGCCACACAGAAAGTGCTACAAAAGTTCCATATAGTTTCCTGAGGCAAGGAAGCTTCAGGAATCATAAGGGTTCACGAGCTTCCATGTAGTTTCCCATAAAAGAAAACCTTAAGATTCCATCAAGTTTCCATTCCACAGAAACCACTACGCTCATATTCCATATGGTTTCCTGAGTCGAGGAAACTTTAGGAATCGTGAGGTTTCCCGAGCTTCCATGTAGTTTCCCGTATAAGGAAACCTAAAGATTCCATCAAGTTTCCATTCCACGGAAACCACTACGCTCCGATTCCATATGGTTTCCTGAGTCAAGGAAACTTTAGGAATAATGAGGTTTCCCGAGCTTCCATGTAGTTTCCCGTATAAGGAAACCTAAAGATTCCACCAAGTTTCCATTCCACGGAAACCCCCTACGCTCCGATTCCATCAAGTTTCCTGATTCTGGAAACTAGTGGAATCTTCAGGTTTCCCATTACGGGAAACTACATGGATGTTCGGGAAACTTAAGGTTTACAGAGGTTTCCGTGGTTCGGGATACCTTATGGAATCGGAGCGTAGGGGGTTTCCGTGTCACGGAAACTTGGCGGAATAACCTAGCATCCGCTACGGAAACCACTGGGAAACATGATGTAAACTTGAGGTTTCCATGTGGTTTCCATAAAGTTTCCCATGATGGGAAACCACTTTTTTCACCCAGTGTTGCTGTCTAAACGAAAGTAGGAAAATCCCATCTGCATATCATACCAATTGTGCACAAATAAAAACAATGAACGAAAAGTATTATTTAATGACATAAGAGCAAATAATTTGCTACGTTTTCTGTAAATAGGTATCAGAAATATTGGAGTTGTACCAATGCAATCATAATTTCATAAACGTATAGTATCAATATAACATCCTAGTTAAAATATATCTGAAATGACTGGCATTCGACCTCGCGTTTGTTTTTATACTGTATAAATCTCAATCCTTGCACAAAAATACCCTCAATCATCTTTATACACCCCTTCAATACTTCTGTAGACATTGTTACGTTCTTGCTAATCTTATATGAACCATAATATTAATGTTAATATTAATGTTTGACAGTGAAATCCCTGTCTTTACCTTGTCAAAACCACCCCATCTCATGGCATTCTCATCTGTAAATTCAAATGTCGCTTCCGTACTCAAATAATTTCTTCTTTTCTCTGTCACGCTCTTTCCGATCTGTGTTTGATTTTATTAGAGTTGTTTTTGGTTTTTTAAAATTTATAGCAGCTTCCTCTAAACTACCATTTTCTTCTTCAGTATTGAGTTTCATAAACTTTAAATTTGATGGGCTTGAAAAATATTTTGACTTCTTTTCCTTGGTAACGTTCCGCTGTCCTCATCTCTCCCATTTTTCCTCCTCTTGGGTGTCATCTTTGGCTCTCTGTGTTCTCATATAAGCAAGAGAAGATATTGCCAAGCCTTTTGCCGATACATAAAATAGACGACAGGCCTTTGTTTTTGTACACTGACGTATTGGAAACATATGCCTCTTCTACAATTTTCTCGAAGTATTCGTAGAATGGGGACTGGGATCTCAAAGTTTCCCCATCTAGCACTTCGCGAGGCGCATCGTATGTATGATTAAATGCATTTTCTTCTTCAATATTGATGCCTTCCAACTTTATAGCGGCGTTAAGTCGATCTAATGCTTTTTTTTGCTGTCTTGTTGATCAGCTTACTTCTTGAAATTGTTGTTATATCCTCAACTAAAGTATTTGTCCTTTCCAGTGATGTTGATGATTGTAATCGTGCTAATACATATAGCCAAAATATCTTCACATCTTTGATCTCTGTTGATTGAGCAATTACTTTTTGAAATAACTTATAATTTAGCATGTGGGCTGCACAAATGTGTAGAACAGTAAATTTTGATGACATAGTTCTAGATGATTGATTGATTAATTAATGTTTTACGCCGAATCAGCAATATTTCAGCCATATATCGGCGGTTAAAAGTAAATCATGTGACCAGTTTTTAAAGTTTTGGGTTTCTCTATGAGCCTACCCTTTTTCGAAAATCAGGGAAACGATCTTTTGCGTGCGAAGGGGGTTGTAATCCTTGACACGGGGCACCATTTAATGTCCCATCCGACTGACCTCAAAATGAAAATGTAAAGCTGTTCAATTAAAATGTCTTTCATTGAAATACATTAATTTAGATTTTACAGTAAAAATCAGTTTCTTGCAAATATTTTAATATTGTAAACGGATTAATATTTTGAAAAAGGTCATGCATTGTATGTATTTTATTAAAGAGTCTACTACGTATGGGCGAAAAATCAGAACATTCTAATAGTATGTGTTGTACAGTAATAACACAGTCACAAGAGATACATTCGGGTTGTTGTTCCTTGTTGAGTAGGTATGAATGAGTGAACCTTGAATGTCCAATACGAATTCTTGAAATAATAACTTCATCCTGACGTTTCAGACCAAAATTAGATGAATGATTAACTTTGTTCTGTATTGCATAAAGTTTATTATTATCGCAAAAATTCCAATATATATGCCATAGAAAATTAACATAATTTTTGATAAAATATTTCAAATCAGTATAAGGAATTTTAAACTGAACAATTTCATACTGAAGTGCTTTTTTCGCAGCACTGTCAGCCTTGGTGTTACCAGAAATACCAATATGACTTGGAATCCAACGGAATTCAACAACTTTACCTAGATTTGTAATATTAAAGTATTTGGTTAAAATATCTAAAATATACGGGTGATCAATGTTCATACTGCTTATTGATTGTAAACAGGAGAGAGAGTCTGAAAAAATTGTAAATAAATTATCACTAGATGATGAAGTTATGCTGTTTATATCAGAAGGTTGGAAATGAAGTTCACTGGATACAACTAGAGCGGGATCTATGGAGAGTATACCTAAAAACAAAAGAATGTAGATCATTGCTAGCTATAGAAGTGTTTGTGGTTATAAACATCTCTGTACAGGTGTATGATTCGAACCCCTACTCCACCTGAGCTACTGGTCCTGATGATAGAGTTCTGAAGGTTACCATATATGGGTTACCCCTGACCGTTGATGACAGCGCTGTCTTTGATATGCTCAAAACATTTGATGTAAATATCAGAAGTGAAATAAAATATGAAAACATTAGACACCCTGAAACACACCGTATGACCAATGTTTTGAACGGAAACAGGTTTTTTTTACATTGACCCGCTTCCCGATGGAAAATCTCTTCCGCGAAATGTCATCTGCGCTAAATTGAAATGTCGAATATACCATCAGAACCAGACGTCTATGGATCCCAAAGTGCAGTGTTTCAACTGCTGGGCAACTGGACATAGGAGACAGCAGTGTAAGAAGGGCAAAGTCTATCCAGTCTATAGGAGTCTGTTCATACTCCAGGATCAACGGAGTGTCGGCACTATGTGGATACGTCAGATGTCAGTGAAATGGTGGTATTTCAAGGAAAGTATAATCCTCTCTCTAATTTATATCCGTGTGAGATAAGTGTGTTCGGTGAAAAGCATAAATCTGCGGAACACGCAGACCAACTGACCAAAGCAATTCGTGCAGGCGATCTAGAGGCGGCCAAGAAGGTGAGAGAAGCAGATACGGCTTTAGAAGCTAAAAGGCTAGGACATACGATATCAGATACACTAGGATGGAACAACGACAAGGAGACGGTGATGGAGGAAATCGTTTGTTCAAAAGTTGACCAGATACCATAGGTAAAAGCCAACCTTGAAAACTCAACAAGTAACACCATTTTTAGTCCCCTACCGGTGAAACCGGGGGGGGGGGGGGGGGGGGACTATAGGTTTCCTCTGCGTCCGTCCGTCTGTCCGCCTGTCTGTCCCAGTCTGTCTGTCCCACTTGGTTTTCTGCACTTTTTTTCTAAACGCTTGCAGATATTGAGCTGAAATTTGGTATGTGTGTATCTTAATGAGTTACAGATCAAGTTTGAATTTCGCTTCGCTTCATTGATTTTTGACAGAATTATGGCATTTTGAATATTTTTCATAATCGCTTAATTAAGATCGGGTTCGAACTGCGCTAACTTACGATTGTCGACGAAAATATGAAGCGAGGAAAAGACGATGTAGAAATGAGTTGAATTTTCGTCTTAATGTGGATTATTTTATTAGTTTTAAGGCATTTACAACTTGAAAATCTTCCAGTTTTACCTTGGACATGACTTTTGCACATTATAAAATGACAGCCTGAAGAAAAAGGGGAACCCGGTAGGGGACATGTATTGCTTATGCAATACTCTCAGAATGCTTGTTGCAGAGGGTACTTATGACATATAGTCGGGCACAGGATTTGATAGTGAGGCAACATTACATACCGATCACAAGAAATGGCCCGGGCAGAACAAACTCGGAAAATATACCAAAAGCTTGCCTCAAAACACGCAAGAAAACTCCGAAGTTCTTCCCTTCCACGCAAAGGGACAAGTGAAAATCAGTCCAATATTGAGGACTTCCTAAGAGATGTCAAGAAAGGTCGCACAAAGAATACAAGTGTTAATAGCAAGAGTGATGCCGGATGAGAACGGTAAGTTAACACACTACAACATCCTTTCATGGACAATCCTACTTTAAAACTTTACGCCCTAAATGTTCAAGGTTTAAATACATACAAAAAGAGAACATTGCTGCTTGATTAGTTAAGAGATGCAAAATATGACAATTTTCTTACAAGAAACTTATTTTATAAAAGAACAAGAATCATATTATAACTCTCGTTGGTTTGGACAAATTATGCATTGTTTTTCTGAATAAGTATACAGTAGGTGTGTATCAATTTTGTTGATAAAAAAATT